TTACGCCCCCAGCCGTAGCGGCCTCCCCGGCGTACCAGGAAAGACGCACGACCGTCCAATTGCCCCCGCTAAGTTCTCCTGGACCGGTCTGCGCGCAGTTGTTCCAACCGGGTCGCCCTTGCGGACGGGGGTTGGCTGCGGCATAGGGCCGTCGGAAGGAGGGTCCGTACCGCGCGAATCACGCCCCGAAGGGCGGCTATCGCACGGCGGTTCCCCCCAGGAGTGTTGTTTCAGGCGTGGCCAGCGGCCATCCATCCACAGACCCCATCAGTGCCGGAGGCCAAAGGGCTCCCGGGCTTCAGAAGCCGTGGCGGTGCAGGCACCGCCGCGGCAGACGGATACCCCCGAGCTGGGGACTCATGGCCGTAACCATGGGACCCCGAAGCTGGAAGGTGACCATCCTGGCTTGGAAGTATACAGACATCGCAACAGAAATACTCGTAGAGAATCAGAGCTTTGATGCCTGTGAAGAGCTGAGGATTCTCATCTCTTCATAGACTCACCGACCCCGTTTTTTTGCAATTTGGTGAATCTCATGCGAAAGTGTACAGAAAGTTGTCAAAAATCGCGATTTAGTATGGGGGTGGCCCGAGCTTTTTCACGCCCAGTTATTACCGGATGCGGTAATTTTTCATCACGTGTTTTGCCGGGCCGGGCCCCGCGGCGGCCAAGACCCCAGAGTCAACTGGTGAGGTCGACTGGCCAGTCCGGCCCACGTGACCCGCCCAGTGCTCCCAGCTGGATATATATCTTGGGTGGTGTGTGTGGACAGGTGCACCATCTTCCCGGTCAGGAATGCCCTCCCCATGGCCCCGCGCCCCCCCCGGCCCTCCGACCGCCCCGCCCGGCCCCTGCTGCCGCCCTCCGCGCCCCCCCGGCCATGCTTGGGGCGCCGGCCCCCCCGAGCTCGCTGGCGCCGCCCCCCGGCCCCCAGTCAACTGGCCAGTCCCGACGCCCACTCTGCGGCCCCGGCCCTCTGCCCCCTCACTTCCGGCCGCCGCCCGCGCCGCCACCCGCGCCCCCAACTCCCCCAGTCAACTGGGTCG